TGATGAAATCGCATACGCTGAATCGACTGGTGGTGTTTTCGTCACGATCGGCCCAGTAGTTCCTGAGTTATCCCGCGCGGGGCTGGGGGGGGGGGGTAAATTTTACCCCCCCTCGCGAATTTTTGCGATATCTCAAAAACGGCGGCGCGCAGCGCCGCCAAACTTTCAGTACCTTTTCTTACATCAATTTGACACGTTCCCTGAAAATTTGAGCGAAATCCGTCGGAAAATTTTTGAGAAATTGACGTTTTAGTGACGTCATGTTCGCCATTTTCGCCTCAAAAACGGCAAAAGTTCAAACGCCGCTAACATCTTCATTTTTAAAGGAATCAAGACGTAACAAAAAAGGTTATACGTAATTTTACTTTGTCTTTCAAATGGCTATCTCGGTTTTTTGAAAATTTTGGATTTTGGCCTAAATTTTTTCAAAAAACTGACTTTTTTGGGAAAATCATTATAAAATCCAAAATTTTGAGTCTATCGAAAAAACCGGAATATATGTCAGAGAAGTGGTCTATGTGCACCTACATACCAAATTTTAGAAGAATCGGTTCAAAAATGTGGGAGTTATTCAAAATTTTATGACGTCACGACACACAAAATTTTTGAAAAATGACTTTTTTGGAAGTTCTAGACCTCGTACGGAAACAAAAATAGCACCATTCGATTCGCCGTGAAAAACTGCATCAGATAGACACCTTTGTAGGCCTTAACAACCAACTTCAAAATTTGACCTCACTTGACCTGACCTTGACCTGACCTCGACCTGAAATTCATCCAGAGGTGGTCCATATCACTTATTGAGCGTGCCTATTGAATTCTATGAGTAAAATGACCCATAAAACATGTGTCGCACATGCCCTTTTCTATATTTTGTTTTTTGGTGACCTGACCTGACCTGACCTGACCTTGACCTTGACCTCTGAATGATATTGTATGCAACGAATATTGTCTTGGTAGCCTAAGAACACGTTTTGGGCGATCAGTCTCAGTCCATGACTCCATTCTTCGGCAACTACGGTGCAAGGCCGATACTGTAGAAACTTGCAATTTGTACCCTTGACCTGACCTTGACCTTGACCTCAAACTTTAAATTAAGTACATGTTTTTAGTAGTTCGTGATGAGAGCTTTCGATTGGCGTTTGAATTTTCCAAATCGGACCATTAGTTCGGGAGATAACAGGGGGGGTAAAATTTACCCCCCCCCCCCAGCCCCGCGCGTTCGGCTGGAGACCCCAGCCCCGCGCGGGTTATAGAATGGCTGCAATAGGCGAAAACGTTAAGTTGACCTTTTGAGGTCACCGAGGTCACCTGAGGTCACCATATTCGAAACGGCTGATGAAATCGCATACGCTGATTCGACTGGTGGTGTTTTCGTCGCGATCGGCCCAGTAGTTCCTGAGTTATAGAATGGCTGCAATAGGTGTCAATGCCGAGTTGACCTCTTGAGGTCACCGAGGTCACCTGGGGTCACGAGCTTCGAAACGGCTGACAAAATCGTACCCCCTGATTCGAATGGTGTTTCGTTCGTTCTGATCGGTCCAGTAGTTCTTGAGTTATAGAATGGCTGCAAGGGTGGCGGTCGAATAGTGTTGTCCCTGTCTCCGGTGTCTCCGGGGCAGCCTATGTATACTGTATAGTGTATATAGTGCTCTGTGCTGTGAAGTATGAAGTTCTCGTAATGAACTAAGACTCAATATGATTGATTTTTTTGCGTGCATCAAATAAAACGAGAAGAATTTGACGACAACAATGAAACGAGATTTTTAGATATCAAAGTGGTTGTGTCTCCGACGACCTTCCTTTATTGGATTGACTCTGTCTCCAACACCGGTTGGAGAGTTGACACCTTTTTTCACCTCTGTTTTGATCACAGATGATGTATTCGTGCATTTAGGCCAGGTCGGGTCAGGTTAGGTCAGGTCAACCAGTAGGGGTCCTGCCGGGTATTCGTAATACGTGTATAGCGCCTCTGACAACTTCGTAACATGTTGCCGAGGCACTAGAACTGCTTCGTAAATGTTCAAATGGTTTCTAAATTCGACTTTTAGCTCCAAAAATTAGCCTAGCAACAGGTAAAATTCGAAAAAGTGAGCCGTAGTCACCGAAGGTCAATGACCTGACCTGACCTTCAGGTGACCTTGACACCCACCCTTATACATGTGACCAGCATCATATCACATGTTTGAACGCTGGAAACCACGAAAAGACTGCGAACGCGCGGCTAATGCGAGCCGACATACGCCGAATCGCGATTCCGGCCAAACAGGGTCTCGGGAAACAGGTCACAGGTCAAAGGTTATTTGCGCCAGGGTCATAAAATTTTTAGGGAAAGTGTAAAATTGATTAATTCAAGCGTACTGCAAGTTTCGTCGCCTTCGGCCGCTTTTTACGCGAGTTATTCGCGGAAAACCGAGGGGGGTCCGTCCGAACCCCCCTCCCCCTACACGGGTGAGGGTTAATGCCGTTCAGATAAGGTGCTTTGAGTTAAGCCTTGCTTTTGCGCCTCGGCCCGTCTTATCTTTTGTCCATTTTCAACCCATATTTTTGCTTTATAAACTTGGTTATGATGATGATGATGATGATGATGATGATGATGATGATGATGATGATGATGATGATGATGATGATGATGATGATGATGATGATGATGATGATGATGATGATGATGATGATGATGATGATGATGATGATGATGATGATGGCACTGAGGTGAAAAATTACAAAAAAATACAAAAAAAATCGACATTATTTAATTGCCTTGTTCACTGGTTTGAAATATGATAATACAAAAAGACGATAGGTACAAAAAGTGACCACATGCAAAACTGGTTCGTGCTATCGGCACTAGTGTTTTTCTAATACTTTTTCCTTACCTTAGTCCGAAACTAAAACGAAAAAACAATCATTTTAAGGAAAATTATAAAAATGACGCTTCGTCAATATAAAGTACATAATTATTTATCATAATGCGGTATATAAAAGGTGATATGGATTCTTCTGCCTGGTATATTTCAAATGTCAATTGACACTTAATAAATCGACTTGGAAATTTGAGTCTGCTATTGGCGCAAGAAGTGCAACCCGCACAATTTAAAATAATAGACCCGTCCACACCCTTCCGGGTTGACTATCACCCCCACCCCCACCCCCCGACAGCCGATGGTGAATGCACCGTTTAAATGGCAGGGCGGGCTCTCACTAAGAGACACTCCCGTCGGCCGTCCCGCTCCCTGTCACTGGCGGTGCACCGTTGTACCTAAGTGGTCCGCACTGTTAAATGTCTCCACTCTTCACTCTATACGTCATCACCACAAAGCTCTGCAATGGCCTTTTCAGACCAAAATACGTGTTCCTTACAAAGCAAACAAACAAATAAACTATAAAGGATGATATCCAAGGTCAGACCAAGCCATGGTCAGCACCCGCGGCATCCACTCTGTCCGCACAACCGCAAAATGACATCAACAAATGATTGATAATTGATTACAACAAGAAATAAGCACCAGAGTTAGTCCCTTAGCTTTTCGGCGACTTTGCAATCTGCCATTGATTTAACCCTCGCCCGCACATGCCATTTTCCCATCCTAGAACGCACATGGGGGGGGGGGGGGTTGCCACCCCCCCGCGCCATTTCGTTCCTGTTGGAGATAGAGCTTAGCGGTAAAGACCAAAAAGATTCTTTGGGAAGAGACGAATCCAATGATACCCAGTTTTACCTTCTCAGGTCAGTCATTGACCTTCCAGGTCAGGTCAAACTAAAAAATGTTGCTGTTTTGGGTCACCGTTGGATATCAAGTGTGCTGCTTATCAAATACCGATGACGATGCTGTTTTCTGGTGCGAAGCCAGCTAGAACCTCTTTGTCACACTACCCGACCATAATTTTGCTGCTGAGGTCATTTCAGGTCAAGTTAGGTCAAGGTCAATTATATGTGTTTGTATGTCTGTGTGTGTCTGTGTGTATACTGATGTGTGCACCGATTGTTTTTGGGTCCATATTACATGAAATCATGATCTGAGAAGCTTTTACCAAAAATGCAGTCAAAAAACTTCAAAAAAGTAAATTCAGCTTGCCTAAAACGCAATTATCTTAGATGACCTAGGTTGACCTTGACCCTGACCTTGACCCCTGTACATCGTCGAACAACATGTTCCATGATAGGTGGGAGGTAAGACTGGCAAAAAAGGCCGAAATCAGGGTGTCAAAAGCTCATAAGGCCCATGGCAAACGCAATATGTTGAGAATTGGCCATTTGGGTCATGACATGACCTGACAAACAAGGTCATATCTCCGAAACCAAAAATCACAGAAACTTGAAATTTTCAGTGGACATAAAGAAAGGATAGAGGAGCAGCTATACGAAAAATCAGCCTTCTAGCTCTAAAAATGTTGAGTGCAGAGCAGAAAGACTACCTGGGGGGGGGGGGTGGCAACCACCCCCCCCCCATGTGCGGGCGAGGGTTAAGCAAGTGCTACAACCGTCAAGCCCACTGTTGAGGCTCACAGAACCATTAGAACGTCACGCCCAAGGCTGTCAGGCCCGGTGTTCGGGATAAGGGTGGCTTGGTTGCCGCTCTGCTGGACAGATGGCGCACAAGAGCGGCAGCAGAGGGCAGCAGTGACTGAGAAGGGGGTGCTGGCTGGTGGTTGGGTCCAGGCTACCTACATAGTAGTCGCTTTCCGTTTCGGTTACTTTGCTATGCACAGAAACGCATAATCCGACTCTCATTTAAATACTGTAAAGTAGAGCATTTAAGGATAACGGCCTCATCGGCTCATCGATTACTTAGCCTTCCTCCCACCCGTCGGATTCCAGATTGCTGGCTGACCATATATTCAGCTTGCTTCTCGTTCGTTATTCCTCGGCCCAATGTTTGACTTATTTCCCACTCATCAGGCCCGGTGTTCAGTCCATCTCTCCGACTAGTTGCTTAGCTCACCTCCCATTCGTCAGGCCCGGTGTTCGGCCCCTCTCCCCGACTAGTCGTTTAGCTCACCTCCCATTCGTCGGGCTCGGCGGGTGCGCGGTCGGCCGGCTCGGCGGCGGCGGGCGCGGGGTCCGAGGAGGCGGGACCGACGTCCACCACCGTGTGCTCGGGTCGGCGGTGACCGAACTCGAGCGTCCATAGCCGGTCCTGGCTGACACTCTCCTGCCAGGTCAGAAGACCCTGTCAGCTGGACACCCACAGGCTCAACTGTCAGCTGGAGGATCCACAACAGGGGGCGCTTACGGCAGTCAGCAGTCCTCTGTCTTCTGTTTGCAGCAGCCAGTCAGTTTTTACGACCCTTCACTTTTTGCAAACGCCTAAAAACGCCACCCGGGACGGCATCGCCATTATCTCTCTTTGTCACCATCTTTTCCACAAACATTGCAAAAATGACCCAGGTCACCGAAAGCTAACTTACCGAAAGTCAGATCACCCAGTTCATATTATGTGGTCTCACGTCAAAGAAAATACATAAGTGCTCGACGGCGACCTAGTTTCAATGCGTGGACGTTTGCTTTGATACTTTGATATGCAGGTCAGGTCGGGAGACTTATTGATACGCAGTTCAAATAGTCGGGGACTTACTTCAGCACTAAATAGGTTAGGTCGCCAGAATCCTCACCGATAAGCAAGTCTGCTCACAAGCAAGTCTGCTCACTAGGGTACCCGCCCATCGACGAGCAGGTCACGTGCCGACCGACGGGAGTTGTTTATTTACCGATAGCGATACGCAGGTTAGGAATCCAGGGTAGCCCCACACTGGACCTCGCATGCCGGTTGCGAGTTTTTGGGTTTTCGGGTTTCTTTAAAATTAAGGAATAGTCGTATACTGCACCACCATGTAACAAGCCAGTCTGCATGTTTTTAGCATGCGAGCCAACTGAAATTGCATTCCAAAAGTTGATTTTGAGTCAACTATCGATTTTTCTCGCTGCGAGTACTGCGAGTTTTGGTGTGCTTTGTTGAAGTCGAAGTTTGGTTCGCTGTGCTGCTATTGCAATAGCATGCAATTTCCTGAGGGTGTACCGGCTTCACTGCATTCATGTAGTGACCAGAAGAAAATGGTTTAATCACTCCATGAATGAGTATTATACCCGCGAATCAAAACCCGCAGACTCGCAACCCACATGCGAGTCCAGTGTGGGGCGGCCTTCAGTAAGCAGGTCAGGTCACTGGCGTACTCACTGATAAGCAGGTCAGGTCACTGGCGCTGTCCGGCGGAGACGAGCTCCCGTCTGAGTCCTCCGCTAGCTCCTGAAAAAACGGTTCCACTTCAGTCAAGCCCAACAGCTTGGTTGAAGTGTAGTAAAAGTGTGATTTCGCACGCGAGAAAAAAATATTTTCATCAGGAACCACTATAATAATCCACAAGTTTATTCATAGTTGTACATCACTGTGCCAAAACACCTTCGTTCGAACTGATTTATTTAGGCTTTAGCTAGTTAAAACTTTAAGAGTGTGTTGGCTTTCAAACCAATATCGTCGAGACCGTATGATATGCACTTTAGGAGCTAACCACTACATGAAAGGATGCAGTTCAAGCCCCTACCCCTCAACGCCTGAGTTACAAAGCTCTCCTTCTACTGCAAGCGAAATGTACAAGCAAGCAATCATTACGAAGCTGCCTTATATTCACAGCACAGCTACGCTTGGAAAAATGTAAATTATAACTCGCAGATGTTTCGCTGGCTAACTTCTCGTACCTCTACCTTTCCTCCAAACGCATTCTGAAAGCCAGCTCAATGTCATCCGTATAGGTCAAGGTAGTATGACATGTCACATTCACCGTGTGATGCATAATTGCATAATGCAAATGTCATATGGCATCCTAACGTAGTTATTTATGAGAATGAATGTGGGGTTCGGTAGGTGTGCTCTATCTGGCTCGGACGACACAAATTGCTCGCGAGACCTTAGAAGATCTTACTTGCTTTTAAGCTTAATAAATATGTATAGTAATAAATACCTTCATATTAATTTGTCCAGTATAAAAACGTACGTAGCATGGCTTACGTAGACGCAGCAGAGGAAACAAGCAGAATTCTTCGCAAAATAAAGACAATGTATCCAACCGTAAAAGCTTAAAAAAAAAATGGATCGGTACGTCAGATCAGCAGTGGATCAGCTCTACTTCTCGTAGGAATAGAAGCGTGAAAATATATTTATTTTGTTGTCAATTTGATACATTATCACTCTCTTCACAGTCGTTCCGACAATAGCTATGGCTATTCGAATGGCCAATCTCATTATGTGGCCTCGCTCTCTCACCTGACACTGCTGCTGCGAGTACAGCTCCTGCAGTATTCGGTCGCGTTCCCTCATTTCCTTTTCGAGCGACTCCATCCTGGTATTGAGTGACGCATGCATTTCCGTCTGGAAAACACCGCACGGGCCCGGCGATCAGCTCAATTCCATTATCAGCCCAAGAAAAACCGACGGGGCGTCGATAATATCAGAGCCAGGACTGAATGCATTCAATTTACAGAGCCGGAGCGTGCTTCCCTGGATAAGGAAGTACGATTAACTGGGAATCACGTACTCCAGCATCATCTCAATATTTCAGAACACAAGCAGTCCAATAGAGCGGCCTTGAATAGAGCAAACCACTAAAGGCAGCCCAATTGTACTGAAATGTCTCGTTATCGTCGTATGATGGGCTAAGTGGCATAGCTGACTGATGGGCAGTGTTATGAAACTGCTAGTGACCCCCAGGACCACTCCCACTCACCAGTTTCTCTTGAAGAAGGCTGCGTATCTCGGCCACCACGTCGCTGGCCTGGATGAGGCAGGCGGTCGGTGGGGGCGGCGTCGCCTGCGACGTGACATCCGGTAACGCCTCGCGCGAGCCGACCGGAGAGCCCGGCGGAGAGTGCTGGTTGAACGAGACGGACTTCATCAGGTTCCGCTTGCGCGACAGATATCCCTGGACGGTGGCCGGGACGGGTGGCGCCGCGGGCGCCTCGGTCGGGTCCGCCAGCCGGCGCAGGATGCTCTTGAGGCCGCGCCGCTCGGCAGAGTCGGAGCCGGGCGGCGACTCCTGGGACGGCGCCGCCTGCCCCTCGGAGCGGCGCGGCGACCCCGGCCACCAGGCAGCCGGGGAGCTCGCAGCCGGGCTGGGCGAGGCGCCGGAGGAAGGCTCGCAGTCCTCGTCACTTGTCTGTGTGGCTGCTGACACCACCGTGACCCCGGGCGTGATGTCCGTGCTCTCACCGTCCCGACTCGTGTGACCGTGAGACGGTTTGGACGCGGGCGGACCGGGACGGCCCGAGCCGGCTCGCCGCTCCTCCACCTTGGACTCGGTGTGGTCCGACCTGGTGGTCACGTCAGGCCGCTCGGCCGCCTGCCGGTCCCGCAGCATCCGCAGCCTTTGGAGCAGCGGCAGCCCAGCGCCGATCACCTCTGGCTCTGTGGACGGCTCCCGACCGACCGAGCCGCCGCCGTCCGGGCTGGCCGTCGAGCCCAGCTTCCGCCGCCTGCCCGACACAAGCACCGGCGCCCGGCGGTTATCGTGCTCTGCGAACACTACTTTCAGTGGGGAGATCGATCCAGATCGGTCCCCACGGATCGATCCAGATCAGTCCCAATGGATCTATCCAGAACACCACCGTATCTCCATTTTTGGGAGATAAGCTTTAGAACTTCCTACTCGTCGACGTTGATACACATATATTTTTCAAGAAGAGGGGTTTGAACTTTAAACTGCTGGCTGTGTAGTGATCATCTGCATAAGTAAGCTAGAACCGCGAAGCCTGTCACTGGTATACCGACCGCGGCCTGGCCCCGCGTGGGTTACGAGTCGCTCCTCAGGCGCTCCGGGAGCTGTGTCTGAACGGGCGACTCCTTGGGATGCTCCACGGTTTATGGCCCACTCGGTGGCGGTGCCGCAGTCTAAATACGGTCATGAATCAGACCACAGTGCGGCCACTAACGGACACTAGTGACGACAGAGCAGCAGCTGGCGGCCAACATAAACCATGCTAGAGGAGGTTCACACAGCAGCAGCAGGGGCTGAAGGGGCTGCGAATCAGCAGTTAACACAGGGACAGTGAGCTGGAAACTGGACTAACGCAGAAAAGTCGACTCCGAGCTGGGCGTTGGGTGTATGAATTGGACACTGACGCAGGAAGTAGATACAGGGCAGTGAGCAATGAACAATGAACACAGAACAAAGGACACTGTGCGCTGATCATGACATGACATGAAACTTGACATGACATGATCATGACAATAAAACGATCGTAAAAGGCCTTAACACTAATTTATGCAAATTATCGGGAATAATACTCGCAATGTATGAATGATCCATATCCATTGATCAATCATGACCATCCTTTCACGGTGATCTGATGACGTCCAGACCATGATGTGGAGAGCTTACCTCTGCGAGGAGCGCGTCCGTCCACTGCCACTGGCGTGTCCCTGACCCTCCTGCGGCTCGTCAGAGGAGCACGGGACCAGCTCCATGTCGGCATCACTGGTGACACAGTCACACACACGCACATACACACAAGGACAGAGGTTAGCAAGCAGCAGTTAGCTGAACCGCTTACTTAGCTGGAATTATAAACGATAAACAAGACAAAATGCTATGATTGTGCACAAAATTACTGAACCAACAACGATAACCGTTTAGCAGTTAGATGGACTTAGCTGGAATTATAAACGATAAACAAGACAAAATGTTATGATTGTGCACAAAATTACTGAAGCAACAACGTTAACCGTTTGGCAGTTAGATGGATAATAGACTTGGACATGTCCTAAAAACTTGGTGATTTCGCAAAGAGCACCAGATCTGGATAGGCTCAACCGCCGCCTAGGATCTAACAGATTTCTGAGTACAATAGCTGGACAGCGATCAATACCACGGATTTGCATTCCTGAGGAGGGAAACAGACGACTGACACTGCAGGCAGAGCTGTCTGCGCTCCGTTCTCTTCCAGCGGGCGGTACAGAGGGAGGCGACTGACCTGTCGACGCGTCGGACCCGACGCAGGGCGTGTTTGATGACCTCGGGCCGGCGGCGGTGGGCGGAGCCGGCGCCGCGCTCCGGGTCGGCCGCCGCCGGCGGCGGATGCTCGCCCGCCGAGAGGCCGTTGTTGGGGACCACTCGGCCCCCGGACGCCTTCCGAGCTTCCAGCAGCCGGCGCCGACCGAGCGTCTGCAGAATCTCCTGACAGCACAGCACTGGCACTCAGAACACTTCAAAGTGACACCTAGCCCTTCGGCAGGGACACCTATTTGCTTGGTGACTTCCTTAATTAAAGACGCATTTGTTTCGTTCATTATTTCCGTAAAAAATACATCAAAAGCAGGAACTGCACAGCCAGGCGACAACATTTTCAAGCCGCTCCTTTCCGTGTCAATCCTTTTATAAGCCACGCCGGTGTCGCAGCCAGGCCATAGGTACTGAATTCATTCATAGACCGGTTCTGATATCCCCTTCTGGACCTTGGCCGAACAGTAATATGTTACCCACGGTTATGGTGCAGTAATTTTATGAATAAACACCAACACGCTAGCCTCCAGACCGGATACAAGCTCTGTCTTACGAAATTTGCCAAAACTCTACCAAAATGATAACGCACGAGGACGACAGCCCGCGAGATTCCCGCGAAACGTCTCAGCGGGACAGTGGTGCTTTCCGGGTTGCATACCCATCAGGCGGCCGGCGAGTGTATTGCGGGCAGCCTATCGACCAGGCGGCCGCTGCAGCGCCGCGCTTCGCCTACATCCATACGTTACTTCAGGCCCATTCGTAGCGAGGCGTAGTTGTCGAACGACGAGGGGCTATAGCCTAAAGAAACCGTTCTTTTAAAAATGTCGACAAAGGACTTGTAACTCCTAGAACTGTTGTATGTGGCGAGTACTACTGTTTTACAATTTTATCAGTAAACGGAACAGACACGCCACACAAATTAGAGCTATATCTACAGGGTGTCCCAGAAGTCTTGAAGCTTTTTTATTTTTGTCGTGTGACCTTGCTATGCCACCGATTAAGGCGAATCATGCCTCAAACGAAAGACAAAGAACTGAAATTTTGTATTTTCATGCGTAGAGCACCACTTTAGTCAGGTGGCCCCCGTTGTGAGTCGCACAAGATTGAGCACGAGAGATCACGTTCTTCGCTGCCGCCAAGATCTCCCGGTTTGCGAAACACCGGTGTCGCCATGCCCGTTTCTTGTCAGCTTCAGAGTCTTATTCCCTGAAGCGAGCGACATAATATTAGCGACATATATTTCCGACGGGTTGATATTTGTTTTAGCCCCATAATAATGCGACGAATCAAAGGATTACAACGGGCTGTTGCTTAGCGTGCTCAAGCAGCTGAGCCTTATTTCCGTAATGGATGCGTGCAAACATGTCAGGAGACTTTCTGATCAGTAAATCATTATGTTGCTAATGTTTTCTCGGAGATCCAATAAATACTCTGTTTCCTGGCTCGCTTCATGAAATAAGGCTCTGAAGCTGATCAGAAACGGGCATGGCGACACCGGTGTTTCGCAAACCAGGAGATCTTTTTTTTTTTTTTTTTTTTTTTTTTTTTTAAGTGCATTTATTGTCAAATAAACAGCATTACTGCCACAGTCTAGTCATCCATCACACTTCCACTCTTCCGCGATCCGCCCACAAAAGATGCAGTAAAGAGCACATGAAACTGCATAAATAGCATATCAACTAGATCATTATCACCATTCTGAACCACAAGCCCTTCCGGCATGCCAGCGGTCGTCACCCACCACCAACCGAATACAGAGGCCGCGGAGACATTTACGTACATATGGCCCGTCGTCGGCAGCGCCCAAAGCGCGGCCCGCCCGCCGGCGGCCTCCACAGCCCGGCTCTCACGGGGCGCGGGCACGGAGCACGGAGTTGACGCACGACGCATTGCAACATCGCATTAAGAGCGGAGTTCAGCTCATCTCGTCGACAGCCCCCTCCCCCACGGTGGGGGCCCCACCCACCCACCGCGAGACGGACGCGCGGCGCGTCAGCTGACAGGTATGACACCACTCGGGTATCGGTGCCGGCGTCCGTCCCGGTTACAAATGTCAGAACGCACATCAGCGCACAGCAGCCGGATCAGCTCCACCAGGGAACGGCCACCAACACGGCCACCGCGGCGACGCAGGAAGCCGAAACGCGGCCGACGGCAGCGCAGGCCGAGCAGCCAGGCAGCGGCAGCCATTCTCCGGAGGCGGCGAGGGCGGGCAGCCCAGGTCCCCCCGACAGCAGCGACCGGGATGGCGACGACGGCGGCGGTGACGGCGGCGGCCATCACATTTCAATCGGTGCCTATGTTTTGTAGAATATTTATAACATTCCCCCATTTGTTTTCGAATTTTTCAAATTGCCTAGAGTTTTTAGCCGCCTTTTTTTCTTTCATGGCTTCTGCCCGGAGCAGGGACGTAAACAAAGGGATACTAGGGGGACGGTTCTTATTTTTGGAGCGCATTATTGTGTGTTTTGCTACCAATTTGATGAGTATTTCAATGTTTGTTTCCTTGTCACGACAAGGAAATATCCAGCTTTCAGGTGTTGTTATTAAGTTGATATTATAATGACTTTGAACATGTGATTTTAAATTATGTATAAAGTTTTGAATTATGTTGCATGTATACAGAGCGTGAAACAATGTATCGTCGTTACCACAAAGGTCGCACGCAGCAGTTTCTGTTTTTCCGATTCGGCAGAGAAAAGTTTTAGTCGCAACAATGCGGTTAATAATTCGATAATGAAGTGCTTGAAGATATGTGTTGTTTGTAGACGATCGCACATCGCAAAAAGTTCCATTATGCATAGAACCAACATCTCGAATCCACTTACAACTTATTTTAGATATGTGTGAATCGCGATTTACTTTAATTCCTGTTACTAAGGTTTTATATACCACTTTGGAAAGATGCAGGTTTTGTGAGAGAAGCTTGATTTTAAAAGGTTGAATAGGATACCATATGTGTTTAGCTATGCATGCTACATTGGGGGAAGTATCAAATGCCAGGCTTCTTATTATGGAGGTATAGCACAAAAATGTCATTTTGATTTTATATGTGGCTGCAAGCTGCTCTCTGCTCAGTAGCGAGCCATCAAAAGGATTGAACAGGTCTGATATAAATCGAAGGCCTTTTTCGTTCCATTCTTTAACGATAGACTTTTTGTATTTTGTGCTGTCGGAAAACCATATGAAGTCCGCGAGTATTTCATCGTTGTCAGGTTTATATGCAGTGCAGAAACTCGACCATCCGCGAATTACTTCTTCCCAAAACCTGTTCTTTACCTTTTTGGCCTCCATTCTTAATTTCACTGACCAAACCAGGAGATCTTGGCGGCAGCGAAGAACGTGATCTCTCGTGCTCAATCTTGTGCGACTCACAACGGGGGCCACCTGACTAAAGTGGTGCTCTACGCATGAAAATACAAAATTTCAGCTCATTCTCTTTCGTTTGAGGCGTCATTTGCCTTAATCGGTGGCATAGCAAGGTCACACGACAAAAATAAAAAAGCTTCAAGACTTCTGGGACACCCTGTATCATCTTCTACGCTATCCTATTTTTAGAATTGTTTTTAATATTTCTCAACGGTTTAGCGGTATTCTTTTTTGCCACATTTACTTATTCATCACTGGCACGCCTTTGTCGTGTTGAATTTAGTCCCGAGCAGTTGAAAGAACAACAAATTGAATGTTCATCGCGAAGTGTTAAACTAGTTAACGATGGAAATATGAATGCCTCTAGGACATAAAAATGGGAAAATATTGAGTGGGGCCAGAGATGAGAGAAATGTGCACCCACCAATTCGGCTACAATGGATGACAGTTTGAGCAACTTCTAAAAGCTTTTAATTGTAACTGTAATTGCCATGATAAAGCACCCGCAAGCTGTCTGAAATTGAGATCGCTGTGGAAAATATTGAGCGCCGCAGTATGAAATATTCATGAGAGAAAATGGACGTCCTTTAGAGCAGAAACACACATTAAGATTGGGAGCCCAGAACGAATCGAATAAAAGAGCCGGAGTGACAGTTTCGTAAGGAAACCGATTAAAAATGAAGCACAATATTTGGCGCTCTCTTAACTACTGACCTGGGGGGGGGGGGGGGTTACCGGTGATAGCAGCACACTGCTATTCCATTTCGCGAACTGACGTCACACTTCTGGTAGTGTTGGAGGAATAGGCTTGTTGACGTCTCCATGGAAACCCAATTTGACACGTGTAATAGCAGCGTGCTGCTATCACCGGTGAAACAGGGCCATCATAAGAGTTTTAAAAGCTTTCTATCGCCCAACTATGTTCATTTTCCACTGCATTTCTACCACGCATGAATCTCAAGCCTTATCCACGTCAGTTGTGCGCAAATAAAAGTGGTTAAAGAAGGAAATCGTCACCGAACTATTCATCGGCATTCACGGACGGGTGATTGCTCTCACTCTGCTGGGACTGACCTGTGCCTCCGGATAGTCCCTCATGGCACTGAGCACGTTGTCTCGCGACAGGCTGAACAGCTCTGAGTAGCCCACGGAGCGGACGTCGGCAGTGCGTCTGGGGGGGGGGGGGGGGGGGGTGGAACGCGGGCAGAGACGGACTTAACGGCTGGACACTGGAAACCGACTGCGCTCGGATACTAATGGCACAGTCGAGCTGAGCCACATGAATACGTGATTAAATTTAACCAGCGCATCGAGTGGATGCCAATTTCTCTCCCGTTTTTAAGGAAAAACTTATAATTCAACTATGTGCCGTCTTTGTCCACGGGTGTCACTTGCTGAACTTATTGCTGGGCTCTAATGGTTATTAATGGATACTACAGCCATTCTTTCCTTGCAATGCTTGATTCATGTAAAAATGCCAAAACTTTTCGTGGGGCACAGGACCTACCAGTTCAATTTAAAACGACACCAATGTCTCCAACCGGTTCCACAAAATCCAGGACCTGCGCTACTAGCAGTGGGGCCATCTGAAGCCCTACATTTCATGTCTTACATGTAGCCATTACTGGGAGTTGAAATGGCGGCAAGTCATGTGAAGCGTGAAATGAAACTGGAATGTGTGAAAATGCTGCATCACGTTCCTCACTCACTTGTTTAAGCCGTCCAGATTTAGGATACCAATCTCGCCGAAGAAATCACCAGCCTTCATTGTCGTTAGAACCTTTCCACTGTCACTGTAAAAGGAAAATGAAGCATGGAGACTCCGTCAAAAGCATGAACGAATTGAATAAAAAAATCTGGAGATCAACGCAAATAATTGAATGGTGCTTGGTTCATACCAATTCTTAGGATATTGACAGGCGTGTGTTCCGCACCCACCTGATCACTTCCAATATTCCATCGGCGATGATAAACATTTCTCTGGCCACCTCGCCCTTCCGGCAGATCAGATCACCCGGCGTGAAAATGTAAGCCCGCATCTTCAGCACCAGGTCGTGTAGGAACTCGGGCTGACAGGCCTTAAAAATGGTCACCTGTAAAGCCAAATACATGCTGACTCATTATGGAAAACAGTTTGGCTGTCAGACTAATAAATCACCTCATAAAGGCGCATCCTGACGGGTGTGGGCACAAATTGCTCCCACTTTCATTTGTCTTGTTTACACTTTTCACGACTACGAACAAGCACACGTTGTCTCGTCTCGTAAAATGGAAGAGCTGAAAACTGGTTGGGTCTGAAGTGAGCGCCTCGGAAACAAACTACGCATTTTCAGGCACTCATGTCGGCATATTATCAATTTAGAACAGAAGCATGTGCTCCTGAGCAGGAGCGGCCGCTCACCTTTTTCAGCGTCATCAGGTTGACATGCAGGGCCAGCTCGGTGCGCAGTTTGTCCGGCAGGAGGCCGAGCACAGCGTTAATGTCGCCGCCTCCCTGGATGTGACCCCGCGACCACGAGTAGTCGTACCAGCGCTGCACGCGACGCTGCATCGCGCGCGGCACGCGGTGGTGGCGCATGTACAGTTTGGCGCTGTCCTGTGCACAGCGCAGGGTGTCAGAACCAGTCAGAACAACGACCAATCAGTCAGTCATGTGTCTTGGCCATTAATGGTCATTACGCCAACGCATAGTAATGGCCCGCCACAGCCATACAAACGGCATAATATCCCACGTCCAGCTTCACCAGAACACACCAGCAATATAGCTGATGTAAAGTTTTTGTCGCGTTCAAATTACCTCTATTCTAGCTGATAAGCTTGAGAGCAAAAAGTGCTGGCTCACAGAAACTAAGCGTTGACCTATTGATTTCAATTCTTAGCAGTATGCACTGCACACAGTATCCGGTACCGCGAGCAAAGACTGATCAATACTGTTTCCTCAGCAAATTCCTTGTAGGTAGGAATAGGCATTGACAATAGGCAAAATAGGCAATAGGCATTGCACCACATACTTCATAGTCAAAACGGAACATTTCATGTACAAATTATTATGAAAGATAAAATCGGCTCTCGTAAATACGAAATAGCCGTTTTCACGACAAACTATATCCGGCGAGTGCACCTAATTTGACCAAATCTGCACCTTATCTCTTTTACAGCAAATGTCTTCATTTTATGAATTTATTTCAGTGTTTTAAGCGATGATGCTCTCTGATAATATGACAAAGCAGGCATATAAGCAATGAGCGCAACCCTAACTGATAGCTACTAAGAGATACACTGAACCTAATTTGACCAAAGCTGCACCTAATATGCACCAAATATGCACCAGATGTGTACCAGATGGCCGTCGTGAAAACGAGTAATAAATGCTAATCCGTAAAAACACCCGAAACACCCGTTCCAATGCTTGGTGCACAATTGACCAGCTTTGAAATCAGAGCGGCCAACGAGTTGCCGATACTTATGCAGTGGCCTGTTACATAGTATTAGCCAAATAGAGTCCATGCAGAGCGGCATCTTCTAGGCAGGTTTTAGTTTGGCCCGCGCACACATGACCAGCGTGGTTTATGGGCGGTGGCACTAAGTGAAGAGCGCTGTACTGACCTCTTCATCTTAAAAGCTCGGGAATAACGCTGCAACGTTCGGGCTCAGGCGACACTTCCCAGTCACTTAGGGAGACAATTTTTGCATCACAATTAGGGAACCGTCCAGATCATTCACATCACTTGCTTTATAAGTGTCCAACAGTATTCTACCAGGACAACCGTAGGAAACGTGGCAGAAAAATTACACAGTAAATGAGTCTACATCTCCGATCAATATTCAATCAATAAGCTCCAAATATTTGCGAGTATTTATGTGTGCAAAGCGCATAAATACTCACATATATTACCGAGATGGCATTTTTTTCCGCGAAGAAAAGAAGAAAATGTGACACTTTTCCATGTGTTGGATGTCATGCACCTTCATAGTACTACCGGAATTAACACATGTGCTTAAACATGGCTTAAACAATATTCAGTACCTTACACATCATGAAGATGACAACAGATTTATGAGCAGATCACATTCACGAGCTGTGGTTTATTCCACCGGTTACTATTCTGACAAATACGTACCAATAAGCGTTCAAATTCCAGCCGATTTGCATTCCGATTTGTGATCACATTCCCCACTTGGCCTGGAACGGGGCACATCATCAGAAAGGCTGGCTTATTTCTCAACAGCGTGGCACCGTCATCAATGACAATCACCAGTCCCTCTCGAGCGAGAGCCTATGCGTCATTTGCTGAACGGCGGATCGTTGCGTTTTAAAATCCACCGAATATGGATTCGTTCATGCTGAACTGAATAGCTCAGGCCAATGCTTATTACAACTCTGAAAAACGGTACTTACCGACAATTGTAGCAAATATGAATACCCCTATCAAGTAGCTGACAATGGTGAAAAGATATCTGTAAAGAGAGGCAGAGTCATCGGTTGCATGACAAAGTGTGATGTTATCTTCATTTAGGAAGAATGTTATATGAAAAAGTGACTCTAAATTGCGGGTGAGCTCAAATCAATTCCATTCTTATGTTTACAATTTATAACCTTCCATCTTTTGTTGAAGAATGTTTTCAGATATCATGCATAATGTCGCATCAATCATGAGGCACATCCTACTTAACTGGCTGATAACAGCTGAAATAACATTTTTTACCGATTATATAACTTTTCCGACAAGGCGTTTTCAAACCTCTGGCTACTGAACGAAGGTGCAATGGCACACTACGAATTCACCCAACCAGCCGATGATCCGTGCTTGTCACTCGTTCTAGCGCGCGCAAGCCTGATAGGACTGAGAGTCTAGCGCTGATGCCAGGCTTCAGCCTCATGCCCCTCCCAATCTGGTGAGCACTGCTCTCAGTGGTCCGCAACCGGTGACGGGGAAAGACGCTGAGATTTGCAAATGTTATCCCTAAAATTCAACTAATTACAAAGTTGAAAGACCCTACATTGGGGACATCACAGCATTTTGAGCAAGATGTCCTATACATAAACATGAAAATACAACATGAAATGAAAATACAACTTTTTCTTCAAGCTGGCTTCACGAAGTTTTGCATGGAGATTCTGTATGAAAATATTTTTCTACCATAGCACACTGGCTAGATAATGTTTGAATTTAATTGAAATAAATAAACTAACCTGACCTGGTGACCCGACACATTTTACGCCCTTTACTATCAACTGAACGGGTGCGATCCCCGAGTAGGATTCAAGTCGTGAAAGCAGGCAGTCGTTACGATTTTAGTTGCACAGGTGGCGCCGCCGAAGCCCACATAATCCGTGGGAGCGATGGTCTGCGTATAGAGACGACCGTGCGCGGCCGTAGCAATAAACCTTTCGAAACTATTATAAATCCCGGGAGACTGGAATAGCAATATGGGTCTGATATCTCAGTGTAGGTATCGTATCACACTGAGTGACTGGTTTATCAGAGTGCAAAGCCACAAAGTGAGGCTGCAATGGGCTGACGTTCTGCATTGGCCGGCCGTGGCGTTCTACATACATATGACGTTGGCACTCCGTCAGAGTGACACCGTTGACAAGGCCCTGTGGTTGGTGCCGCGGTCAGTGTGCCACCAATGACGGAGCCCTGTGGTGTCGGCACGCGATCCGTACTCAGTGGTGCGCCTATGACGGAGCCCTGCACTGACCCGCTGCTCGTTCTGATGTGTGTCAGCCGCGACTTGAAGTGGCGCCGGCCAGTGCCGGAGGAGCCGTGACCGCGGCCACCCGCGCCACCCGTACTGTCGGCGGAGGAACGCTGTCAGACGCCTCCAAACCCGGCTACTCTGATCGCCGTAAACTAGTGTCGGAACTCGTCAATGTAACTGAGTGGCCACTTTTTGTAGTGAATATGCGTTAATTTATTTGATAATGCCGTAATGGCATCATAATGGTATCAAAAAGCCAGCATGTTCATGGTAAAGCAGTCCGTGACCGAACGAAATCACTGCTGATGACGCAGTGGTTCACAGTGAATCACGCTAATCACGGAAAACAAGGCAAGAATTCCGACATTAGTTTACTGTAGCCCGCGCCCTACTGGAGAATTTTACTAACGCTCAGGTTTTATCATGGAATTCCCCTCTTTCTTTTTGTGTGCGGAATTTGCAAAATGTTTAGTTCAACGACACTAGTCGAGGTCACCAGGTCAGGTCATGTGATCTTAAAGGGACTATCCCACCTTTAACATGGGGTTTGAGTTGAGATAGCCAAGTTTGCGGCGAGGTTCAGAAACCACTATCTATCTAGGTTGCAACCCCCGCGGCCTCTTGGTGTTGAAGAAATTCGTTCCCTTCATTTGAAAATGGGCCTTGTACAAGGCCCTATCTTCAACATGGAGCGACCGTTAGTGTGACGTCACCTCGTTTAGTCATTCTGATTTAAATGGGTTTGTTCGTTGAAAAATCGCTTAAAACTTGGTCTGAACTTTGTTGTGGTGCCTACAGAGTAAAAAGAATCAGCTTTATGACAGTAATGTGGCCTGGGGAAGGAGGTAATTTTGGGCTGTGACGTCACATATTTGAAAGTTTGTGTTTGGAATATGGGAAGCCTAAGATGTTTAATGAAAAATAAATGCCAGAACCGTGTTCCTGGTCATCCAATCTATAAAGTCGGGCACAATTTAACTGGTTTTAACAACATTTTAGAAGGTGGGATAGTCCCTTTAACTTGAGTTCAAACCCATCTTCCACGTGATCTAGTTAAGGTGCACTTAACCCATCATAAATAGCTATATTTATGTATTTCTAGTCTGCTTGCGATATTTTCCCAAGATCAACTGACATCATCCACATAAAACATGCGGCTCCCGTCAGCAATTTTTATTTGATAAAGAATCGTTTGAGGTAAACTAAAAACAGTTTGTATTGAAGCATTTGTCTAAGACCAAGACATTTGCATGAGCTCTTAAAAATGGGGGGGGGGGGCACAGCTACGGAAAAATAGTAATCCACTATCCGTTACATTTGCGACGCCTCGTTTGGTCTTCAGATCGTGCATAGCAGAAATATCCATAACTACAAAACAAAACATTTCTTACAATCACCTCGCATGGAGAAATACGCTATTTACTGACAATTGCTGTTATAGCGAGCCATGTCCACGAGATATCGAAGGCTGGTCACAAGGTCAGGTCAAAGAAGGGACATGACTCCAGCAGCGCTTTTTTCGGGCGAAAATACTATTGCAAACATAGTCTGAGACAAACGTCTGGTAAGATGTTCCACTTAAAGTCTGATGAAAATGATGCAAATTTGACTTAACTTACTTTCTATTTATATGCATTAACTCGCGATTTACTGTGGATATTTCTTTATAAGTTGTTACTGCTAAAATAGCATATTTAACTGTCACCAAAAAAAAAGACTTATATAAAACAGTAGCTTTAAGTTTTTGCTTGTGGAAACCGGGAATTGCGTTTGTGGTATGGGTGTCGTCATAGACATATACTGTATTACATGTATTACTGATAGAGTTATATTATTACTTATTTCTGTATTACTGACGTCACTGTCTAACTGATATTGAGTCGCCTATTTGCCTGCCGATATTTGACACAAAAATCGGGACCATAAATGTTCCTATTATTTTGGCAGATATTGCTCGAATCGATATAGTGTTCAATATAGAAATATAAGTAAATACACCTATACAGTCTATATTTGACATCTATGCAAGATAAAACATCCAGACAGTTCATTATTTTGACAGTCGCTATCACAATATTATTGGTCTTGAGATGAGTCTAGTAATATGAACAGTTTTTTTTCCGTGAAATAACTTTCTGTTTTTCAATAACCTTTATTGAGGTGATCATTACTTGACTACTGTTCAAAGCGACCTCTCATGACCTGACCTGTGTGACCGGGCTCGATGCCATTGCAGTCTTATAAAAAAATTGCCTTGCTCTTTCTTTTTCACCAATGAATTTTTTTTGCAGCCTGAGCTAGCAATAACACAGTTATGTCCGAAATCAGAATAAATATTTAGCACTTATGTGATCCATTTACAAAACACGAATTGACTATGACACCACTGGTCAACGTTTCCAGCCCATCTAGTGTCAATTTTATCATAACGTCAGTGAAACGGAGACAAATTTGATAAAGCCAACGGCGTTGTTTCAAGTTCAGATATTGATTCTACTATTATCTTAGATCAAAGGAAAAAAGCGCTTCGCAATAAGTCGCGTTAGGAAAATATCCCAGTAGGGCGCGGGATAACATGTGTGTAAATACGCATAAAAAACATGCTGGTGTTCATTTAAGAATGCAAATCGAGCTATAGAAGTCTGTTGACAAATACATAGATACCTATATAAGCACATGTCAAAGTTAAACCAGCCAAGGTTAGTCCAGCCATTGCTTGCCACAATAGTCACAGGAATCCATGTAAGAACGCTTCTACATACCTTTCGCCTAACAAATGAAGCTAAACAATAAGTGACAATCTAAACCTTGATCAACTATTTGCAAAGAGACTGCACAGAAGCGCCACTTGATTACCTTCCGGTAAAATTATCACAAACCGCGGCACTAAATGATACATTCTTGAAAGGGCTGTCATCCTTTGAACTGAATACCTAACTGGAGAGAAAAGAATTATGAAATGTTCTAAATCTCTCACAATCTCACTCATTAGAGGTGTTTGTTTCTGACCAAAAGTGTACCGACTAGTGAGAATAGATACACTTTTACATCCTCACGAATGTGTTGCTGTGAAAATGCGTTCGCCTTATGACCGAAGCGAAAGCGAGGCGAGAAGCGGGCTAAATTTGCTCACAATGCACACCCTATGTATATACCATCTGGTGCGTCAGAGCTGCACCTCATATGTCCTACACGTTCAAGTCAGCCTTGTACCGGTGCGCACCACCGAGGGAGGCGAATTGATCGGCCGCTGTTATGCACCATTTGACGGCCGGAAATTGGCCGGGGCCCAACGGGATCTCCGTAGGTCCAGTGCCGATGTGTGTGGCTGATTTCGACCGGTCCTATTTGCTGGATTGCAATACAAAGCTAGCTGATGTATTCGGACTTTGGTTTGCTGTATAAGCCAGGCCGACCTTCACAAAGGCTGGTTTGCGTATAAGAGAAACGTTATTGATTGGGTGCCGGTATGCGCCCATGGCTGGAGCCGCGAGGCATAGGGATGGACCGCGATAGCACGGCAGGACGCGTTGACATGGCGAGCATACTGCTGAGCCATGTGAACACAGCATGATTGTCTTTTAACTGAGAACCATTCTGCTCTGATGGTCGACTGATTTGGATGCTGAGTTATGCCGTTTTAGTCAGCTAGTGAGTGATGCATCGCCCCATTTATGTCATCTCGTGACGTTTGGAAATCAGTATGACAAACAATGCGGCGCCATAGCATGGTCATTTCTCTTTTCTAAGAATATTTTCGTTTAGCACTTCTGCTTGTCAGTGATTTATGAATCCAGCCCCCATCATAATCAGTCATGAGCTGATAAAGCATGAGCTGACTTCTTGAAGTTACATGCTGATATCGAAATAACCAGAGTTTGACCCTTATCCGACGTGTAAAGCTTTGCGCTAGACGCACAAATGTCACAGCTATGTGTAGCTGCCGTCTTGGAAAGCCTTCCTGGATGATGGTTTTACAATCCATCAGCAAAGTATTATGTAATTTTCATTTCGAATTGAAAGGATTGTGCTAGTCACATTTGATCCATTATGTTTAAGAACGTAAGAAAATGAATTCCTTGTTAGGTACCTGCTCCGCTAAACAGAAACGTTCTTATCAAACGGAATATAAATGGAAATATCTATCAAAACATTAAATAAACGACCTTTTACCTTATGTCTCTTGGTAAACCAGTTATACAGGATTGCTCAAATTTCATGGCAGGTCAGATTGAACCGTTAGGTTTTAGGTTAGAGGTTTTAGCAGCTTCAACCACTCGAAAGCACAACCAGTCGCCAAGTAACTTCAGATATCGTTGTTGGTAGGTACCCCTTGATTGCTGATCTAGGGTACTCACTGCTTCTTATTACTAAGAATGAATGTCCGTAATCACTGTTCTATTAGCCGTTTTCACGACGGCTATCCTGCGAATGCACTTATTTGACCAAATCCTTACCAAATCTCTTACACCAAATATCTTTAAATTATGAACTCATTTCAGTGTTTTAGTCGGCGGTAATGTCTGATAGTATGACAAAGAAGGCATATAAGCAATTAGCGCGACCCTAGCTAATAGCTACGAAGAAACACACTGAACCTAGTTTAACCAAATTTGCACAAAATCTGACCAAATGTGTACCAACCAAATGTGTACCAGACGGCCGTCGTGAAAACGGCCATTGTGTCACGGTTAACACCCACTGATTGTTGTTGTGTTGAGGTCGGCACTCACTGGTTGTTGTTGTGTGACACGGCACTCACTGATTGTTGATATGCCGCCGCGGTCGGTACTCACTGGTCGTTGTTGTTGTGTTGCGGTCGGTACTCACTGGTTGCTGGTGTGTGTCACGGTCGACACTCACTGGTTGTTGTATGTCGCGGTCGGAACTCAGTTGCTGTTGGTGTGTCACGATCGGCACTCTAGTTATTAGTGTGTCGGGGTCGGCACTCACTTGCTGTTGGTATGCTGCGGTCGGTACTCACTGGTTGTTGGTGTGGGACGGTCGGTACTCACTGGTTGTTGGTGTGTGTGTTGCGGTCTGCACTCACTGGTTGTTGGTGTGGGACGGTCGGCACTCACTGGTTGTTGGTGTGTCGGGGTCGGTCGGTACTCACTGGTTGTTGGTGTAGAGAATCAGCACTCACTGGTTGTTGGTGTGCGGCGTCGGCAGGTCGCCGATGGTGGTCAGCGTCAGTGTGGACCAGTAGACAGACGCCAGGTACTTTCTGGTGAGGGTGCCGAACTCCTCCGAGTCTCCGTGCGGGTAGGCCCAGTCGCCGCGGAACTCCTCCGCCTCGGACAGCAGGTAGTAGAAGCAGCCGAACCAGTGCGCCAGCAGCAGCAGCACGTGCACCAGCATCGCCACCCGCCACACGTTCGGGAACACCGTCCGAGACTCGACCATGTAGTAGTAGCAGCGTGTGCGGTACACCTTGACGAAGCGCGGGCAGCGCAGCATGGGGCAGACGCCGACCGTCAGCTGGAGCAAGTCCAGCGGCACCACCGACACCAGGTCCAGCGCGAACGGCCGCGACAGCACGTAGTGGCGCGCCAGCTTGTGCGAGTCGTACACCATCAGGCCCTGCTCCAGGTAGCCGGTGCGCAGCTGCACGATAATGTCACACACGTAGATGAAGTCACTGAAGGCGTCGCCGGCCAGCCACCACTGCTGCCAGTTCTCCTGCAGCTCCGGGAACGCCTGGCGCACGATCAGCGTCCACACGTTGTACAGAACACACAGCGTCAGCAGAAACAGCCAGAAAAAGTAGAAACTCTCGTCCGGGTTGATCACGCTCCACGGTGGCTTCTTGCGGCGGCTGCGAGGCCCCGCGTCATTGGTGCCCTTCTCCTTTTCGTTTTCAGACAAGTGATCTTCGACAGTGTCCTGCAAAAAGGTGACGAGCAGAGCTAACAGCCAGTCAAGTAAACACTCTGACTCATTTCATACACAAACGCCTTCCGCATAGTAACACAAAACTGCTGTAATCACGCTTGGCCGTTACAGCCGCATTGGGTACACACGGAAGCACATGCGTCCCCTAAAAATCGTGTAGGTAAAGCGGTTTCAACATTATTACCAAGTTCGCTAGCAAAAAAAAAAATTGTTTCGTTTCGAAAGAGAGCACCAAAGTTACGACACACATTTGATGGATGTCTTCGATGGATGGATAGCGCAGGTCGCAAGAAGTGGGCTCGGGTTGGCATGGGGCCAGGCGGAGCCAATAGGTTGTCAGGAGATAACGACATACGTAAGACGTAAAACGTGATTGGCTCGCTTCTTCTTAGTTCTTCCCTACAACGTAATGTCTGTATAACATCTCAGGAAATTTATATGGTAAAAGTCAAAAGACCACTTTACTTTTATCAGAGGCATGACCAAGTCAGAGGACTAATGGCAAAAATCATGGTAGTGCTAGTCACAGGCGGCTCATTTCGCTCATCACAGCCAGGTCACAGTGCTAATCACAGTCAGACCACAGCGCTGGTCACAGCCAGCCCTCAGTCAGCCAGCCCATATGTCTGGCACTGAGTATGAAGATTGAAGAGCAGTCCGGATGGAACCACGCCTGGAAATACAGTCTGCTACAAACTGTAAATTTGATCACGATCCCGGAAAGGCGGACACTCTGTTCTTTTGACAAAGCTCCGAGATTGCACGATTGCCAAAGACGGAGGCGCGGCCGTCGGCGTTTTATTTCGTCACTCCAGGCAGCCCGAGAAAAGAGCCATCCGGATCGCGAATTACTGTGTCTGAAGATCGACGATGGACGTCGATCGGGCGGCCCAAATGAGGAGTGAAATAGACCGCTCTATCGCCTGTCGGCAACTTTTGCCGCGTCTATGCTGACACTGGCTCAGTCCCCGCTGACGCCTATGGACTCTGTGGGCGCCTGAAACGGGATTCTGGGGGCGGACCCCGTCGTCAATCACACTCCACATCGATGAGCGGATTCGGTACCGACAGATCTATATCAGCACCTCGAGACCATAGAAGATCATTGGACGGCTATCACCGACATCTAGGTTTTCGAATAGATGGCTGAGCCACCGGCAACCCTGATTGCGGACAGGCTGCGGTTGCAATGCACACACCTAACTACCAGGCACTGCCAGGGTGAAAATCGGCACCTACAAGCCAGAGGCAGATGCGTGCCGCGATGTCAACCGCTGCCATTGCCTGCGGGCAACGCCGTCCTTTCGAGACGGTTCCCTGTGACACATGAAGATGATATTCCGCAAAGGAAACTTCAGTCGGCCTTCCACATAGACGCTGAATTCAGTCGGTAACTAGCACTGCAGCGTCATGGCGGCCGGTCTATGCGGTGCACCGAACCATTACCTTTCGACGACAGTAGAACACCGCTCTGGATGCATTTTCATCTCTATCGGTCGGCTCCACGCCCCTCAATACCAATAACACCCTACCCTTTGCTCTGTAATGGTTTGATTGGTTCAATGGAACCCTCCCATAACCAAACAGAGGGGCTCGTTCCAGAGGAGCCGATGGGCTGTTCCAACAAGCTGAGCCCCGAGTTATCGAACTGGGAGCATTCAGTCGATCGTCACTTACGGCTATGTCCTAAAAACATTGCCACGGCTGTACCGTTGCAGAGGTTTATGCTTCTATATGACCGCAACTGCGGAAACTGAAAGCGATCGAATCTCCTTTGAGAGCCATCATATAGTGAAACGAGTCACACAAATTGCACATGTTTTCAGAAAACTGCAATTGACTCAGTAAACGCCAGATAGTCGCTTCATAACTAGTGTTCATTGCATTTTGTACTATAAGCTGATATTTGAGCACCATCGGTGGTTCAAGTTCCACGTCGGTTAACTGAAATGGTAAGCTGTGCCGCTTGGCACGCAGCTTGACCTGCTGTTGTGAGAGCGCTGGGCCCGGCGCTGACGCTGGGGCATAGTTACGGGCAAATGTGACAGGAATAGGCTGTTGAAGCTAAAGTTGCGTGTCAGCCGAAACAGCATGCCATTCCAGTCATCTGGTGACAAGTGATGGATGCGACATCATTCTCTATCTCGCGAGCCACTCGCTACATGCACCCAACCTTTCGTCGGCCTTTCGTTGTATTAATTAGTGGGATCCGACTCCCTTATGAGCTACTGACATCGCTGACGTACCTGAGTCTCGATGATTTGCCTGGTAGAAAACCGTGTGATGAACGAGTCTTCCCGTTTGAGCGTGGGCTTTTGTTTTCCGGCCGTGGCCAATGCACCGGAGAGCTGAACAGTCGTCCGCAGCTTCAGCCAGCGCTGGCTGCTTTTCATCCTGATAAAGGCGGAATGCTAATCAGGTCATCAACACAAATCATCAATGGAGTCAATGGTAGGGAACATGGAGCATCCGCGTCTAACTACCAATGCCGAGTCGGATCACGTATACGCTGTGTGATGTGTGGTAATTGCCTAATGGTTTCGTACCACGGTGATTCGCCCCGTGTTTGAAGCTGCTTCCATAAAACGCCGCCAGAGACCAGACCTTGGCAGAAAGAATGAACGGTCATTCAGTCAAAGAACAGCCAGGTCGGCGAGGTAGTGATTTCGTGTGCATGGGATTTGTAGCATTTAGTTAACTGTTCAGTGTACCACAACTGATAATGTGCAAATGAAGCGACTGGTGCTTAGTGAGGTAGGTACGTTGCATACTTCAACATTTACATGTAATACTATTATGAAGTCCATGAAAAAGTAAATAGTTTTTCCGAAGTTGCTGTAAAAGAATCGTAACATGTCGATATTTCCATGCAAGACGCATTTCCTATTACTTTCCATCATTCTATTTAAAATTGCATACCACAGAAGCCCAGCTATTAATTCTTCGTAGGTATTTGGACCAGATTAAAATGAAGGAGGGCGCAGCTTCCACCTCATGCTCTGCAGCTCGGTGGAGTTTCCTAAAAGGCTCCCAACTACTAGAAGTGCACTTGAGTTCAATCAGCGCATCGAACTCCCGATGAATGGTTTGCCCACACGTGCTGGTGGCGTTCAACTTTGGATGACGACGTTGTTGGCCGACCCTGCTTAGTAGTGTTCTTGAGAAATTAGTGAGTTCAACGCGCAAAGCGCAAAGCATTTACCGAGGGTGAAAATTTGTAAATTAATCACAGTACTGTGCCTATAAATAATGAGCATCCTTCCAGTGCACCATCCATTGTGAAGATGGACTGCTCGCCGGCGGCAGCCCCGCCCGCGGCTCCGTCAGAGGCCGAACGACGATTGACCGAGCCGACATCTAAAATATGATCGAGCCCGGGCCGCGTCCAGGGTCCAGGCATCCGACTCTGCCGACCGCCGGTCTCGATACACTGCCGCGGGCCAGCTCCCCCCCCCCCCCCCCCAGCACCACGCCGGGCCGGCGCGGCGGGTCGTCGGTGGGTGCGCCGACCCCCCCCCCCTCCTGACCCGCCGCCCACATGTCAGCAACACGACCGACCGGCGGGGCAGCGCGGGGGCCCACGTCGTCATCTCGGGCGGCCCACAAAGGATTGTGCTTATAGCTGCACTATTTCTACTGGGAACCTCTTCAATAAGTGTCACGACGGTTGACAACACACACTTCCAAGGTCGTTGTCTGGAATGACCTTTTAAAGGCATGATAAATGTGATGTGATTTAAATTTGCTAGTAGATGGCTGATATACTCGTATTTCCAAATAATTTTAAACGTTAAATGGATGATGGATACTGATCTGCTATGGAACGTCCAGGTGGTCACAACTGCAAAATGTAACTGGGCTGCACCTCAGTCGTTCTCGCGATAAGGTCACCTGGAGTCATTTTTCCCATTTAGCCCTTGTCCCGGCTGCATAAAAAAACAAGGCCAACACCACAATCACTGCCGCTGCGAGAAAGCCTTATATACAAAGGTGTGGCGAATCCTTTTTACCCGCATCAGCCGTCGGCATTCCATGAAAAAGTATACCACGGGGTCCACAGCTCAGAGGTCGTCGCTGGCCAGTGCCGGTCGAGCTTTACCATTTCGATGCGCCGATTAATAAATGTATGACAACATAACCAATAACCATACCACTACAATCTTTATCCTGATCGGTCCTTTAGGACAGTAGTGAGATAAAGTGAATTTGATGATACTTAGCCAGCCTTGCATCATTTACTCCACTCACTGTAAATAATTAACAAAGCATGTTTAATTAACGGCTCGCTGAACACCTAATCCGAAGGACGACGGCCGATTCCGGTGTCTCCGGAACTGGAAGACCAGCCGCCAGACCGACAGCCATTGTTTTGGTGTTACGACCAGTCACGCGTCGATGCACACATTTATATCAGTGCCTCAGCATCAAATGCATTATATACTGCAGTACCGCTGTAATGTAAGCTATGGAAATAGCATAATACATAGTCGATGGCCATTGCCTTAGCATTCCAATTTAGCTAATGGCGCCGTATCTCAGGCAGCCGGCAGTTGTTCCATGCAGCCGGCTCTCGGGGGCGCTCTCCTGGCCAGCTCTGCCCCGCGGACGAGGCCGTTTCCATTTGCCGTCGGTCTGTGGGCCGCTACTGGGATTTCGCCGCTTTGTACGGTCGCGCCGACCGTTTATCCGGCATTGACGACGTCTTCGACGGCGGTCGTCTCGGTCCGCGCGGCGGAGAGGGGGCGCCTCGGCAGCTGGCGGCGTCGGCGTCGGCCCCGATCGACCGGCGCCGCGGCTCGGACGGCCCTAGGCGCCGGGCCGGCACAGAGCCGCCGACAAATCGGCCCCGGGGCGCCGCGCCGGGTCACACTCGGACTCTGGGGGCCCTAATCGACTACTGGGGGACAGCTGAGGCGGCCGCGAACACTCCTCTCAGGAACGACCGCGGTTCATGACGGGGTTCCATAACAAATTGCGCGTGTCCGCCGTGAAGCGTTTGTAACCTTTCAATCGTCTACTTATCGTTTAACACTCCTGCAA